GTATTCCATCAGTTCACACAGTATCTCCTTACCTTTTGTACATAGCTTTCATATAAAACGTTTTCCACTATAAATAAGAAACCTGAAATAAAAAAAACAAAACAAAACAATATCATTAAAATAAAAAAACCAATATCATTAATAATACTCTGTATCTTTATAAACTTATCAAAATATAACATGCACTTGTGATCAGTTAGGTATCTGCTATAAAATGGAAATTAAAAGTAAGTTGCTAAACTTTAACTGTTACATGCAAGTTTAAGACGACTAATGCGTTTCCATATTCAGCAAAACGAAATGCTATAGAACATTTTCGGAATCTCGGACACCTGACAACGTACAGGGTACTGTGGACTTTTCACTTTAGGGAGCATGTCAAAAAAGTAATTAGAATGTTCCGTTTACTTTATACTGTATATTTCATTGAACTCGATAATAAAATTTCGTTTTCATTTGCACGAGTTATAACAACAAATACATTGTATGGAATGGGTCACCTCTTACCTTGAAGACAAGTCTAGTAGTATATAATCGTATAACGAGAATAAATTATCTGTACGATAAAAATGTTTTAAAACGTATTTCTATACGCTCCCCGAAATTCGCCTATTGTTTGCAGTCCGCTGTCCGTAGTACGATGTCAGGTGAAAATGTTCATTAAGGGGTTTTAACCTTTTCAATATCGTTACAGAATAAAGCACTTGTATTATATTACAGTTATTTAAAGATTACCTGTAAAATGATATGTACAAATTCATTATCTTCTACGAAAAACCTCCCAGTTTTGCTCGACAGAAGACACGTATTCTAAATACATCTTATATTTGTAAATGTTGTTTTGTTCTAAACCGTACGGTAAACTAAATTTGTCAAAATTGTATAAAGGAGACAATTTGCCAAGCTAAACCCTCTTCAATAACTAAACTCCTATACCATATACCATTGGAGAATAAATATTATATTGTATTGTAACACAAATTGATTGATTGATTGTATGTTGTTTTAAGATACTTGGACACAGATTTGAAGCTAATATTTTCTCTATAATATTACGACTTATATGTTTTAATAGCATTTCACACAAAAATTAATTAAAAATCTTATTTCATTTAAACGTTATTAAAACTTCAAATGTTTTGGCGGATTTGATTGACACATCCTTGGACTTTCACAAATTTTAACTTTATTCTTAATTCTTAGGAAAAGTGGCAATATATTATAGAGAAAATATTAACTTCAAATCTGTGTCCAAGTACAGTACCTTTAACGTCCCTCTCGAGACACGTTTCACGCATACGCCATGCACCACTTGACGGTGGAGAGCTGCAAATATTGTCCTATACTCGGACCTTAGGGCCATTGAGCAGGGAGGGTCTTTTTCGTTCCAGCACCTACTGCGACACGGGGCCATGGTTTATAGTCTCATCCGAAGGACTGATCGACGCGTCCGACAGTGGGATTCGAACCCGCGACGTAAGAATCAACTCCTTACTTCGCGGCTCTAGGGCAGACACTCTAACCACTGCGCCACTCAGGTGACACAATTTTCTATATAATATCATGACTTATTTTCATTCATTAGGTACAAAACATGGTCGTTATACGATAGATACCCGAAGGACAATTTAATATGTAATACAAAATGCTACATGAACATTTACGTGACCATGTAAAGAGGTCAGTAAATATGACATGAACTCCATGCAAATGCTTTTTTCTATAGAAAAAGGATAAGTCTACCAGATAGTTATCTAACGCCAAAAATTAAACTATTTTTCAATACATTGTTTCGGCCAAAATCTTCAATTCGCTATTTCACACACTCTTGCTTATTAGGATCTTTTACTCCCCGAATATGTCCCAATTTAAAAAGATGAGTGGCCTGTGGTTGCAATAGCTAATGTTATAATCGCGGAGTAAGAAGCCGGTCGCGATCCTTACGTAGCAGGTTCATATGAGACCGTTAGACCGAGGTCCTTTGTCGTAGTATGTGCTGGGACGAAAAAGATCCCTCGCTGCTGAAAGGCCCTAATAAGTGCCATGTCCATGTCCAAATTTGGTACCCAACACCGCCATGTCTTGGCTCCACAATATGGAGAGAAATTTTTTGAAAGGGATGTTAAACAAAGAAAGCAAGACTTACATGGTCAATATCGCTCATTTGTGACAATAATTACATCCTTATGTCGGTTTTGACCAGTAATTGTATGTATATAAATAATTCAACTTCCACCCCCTCCCCCCCCCACCACCACCAGTTTTTGGCCTACAGATGCGCACATTTTATATTAATAATTTGTAGACTTCCTTATTGCAGATATTTTTTGTAGGACATTTGTACACCAACACTGTAAATCGACCAAACTTGAATCTTCATAGATAGGGATAGCTTTCAATTATACTAATTAAATAATCCCATTTGCTTAGGTAAACGAGTTCTATAAAAACGTTTTCCCGTCCATGTGAAAAAAGTGTATATAATTAAACTAATTTAAAATCTATATTGATTTAAGAAAAGAAAATCAACTTTTTTTGCGCATGACAAAGGGATATTTCATTCCTCCAATATTAAGTCAAAAATTTATTCGTATTTTTATTGGATCTTCATCTAGTATATCAAACAATGCATTTTCATAAGTAAAAGCCTAGCATTTGCTTATTCAAGCTGTTTTTACTCAGAAACAGAGAACATTTGGATTTTCTTATATTCCTCAAATGGCAAAAGACGAATTGCTTTAAATGTTAAAAAGACGAAACTTACAATTTTAGCATTAGTATACTAATGTGTTGGAAGACAAGACACTAGAAAGACAGAGTAGTTAAGTGCAACAAAATCGTACTTTAAATGACATGAAGTTTTGCAAAGTGTTATGGTTAGTTTTGGAAGCTTTAATTCGGTCAATGTGCAGCAAAGTATATATGAAAAAATATAATATCCACGAAAATAATATTTTAGGATAATTGAGATTCAGATGTGAAACACGATGCGATCTATTTTGTGTAAGAAAGGAGTAAGTAGGGACTTATAGTATAATGAAACAAAAGTAATCTCACTTGAATATCCACAAGTTATTTTAACTATACATTACATGTGTACCATAATCATTTTTTTAAATATAAGAAGTCGATTACACCTTCGTTTTTATTTGTTAATAAACTTATTTGATTCATTTCTGAACAATTTATAAAAACATCTAATGACAATGTGTTTATTATACAATGTTAAGTGTTTCAATGTGGAGCATGGTTAGTGAAATTTAAAATTAATCTCCACCTTTTAAATTGAATAAAAATTCTTATGTTTTTAAGTATTTTATTGCCAAGTCTTCTTTAATTTTACTAAACCACGTAATCTTGGCAAAGCAGGCCCTTGTGGATTTCTTCTAGCAAGCACAACTGCCCTACCTAAGGTGGAGGAATAACTGTCCAAATATGAAGAAGAAATCGACCCTTCTTCCTTCACTCCACTTTCTTAAAGTTTCTCAGAAAGAATTCTTATGATCTTCTTATATCCCTCTCTCTTGGCAATATCAGGTGCAGATAGGCCGTCTTTCGACCGAATAGTCATGTCTGCTCCATACTGAAGAAGTGCATTGACGGAATTATAATAGCCACGATTGCATATTTCGTGGAGAGCAGTCCATCCATTTTCATTGAGTACACTGACGTTTGCACCATGTCGAAGGAGAAGAGGTATAACAGTGTGCATTTACCAGCATAATGTGAAATGTGATCACCATCATGCGAATTGACGTCTGCACCATAATCAACCAGTGTCTGTATGCACTTCTTTTTTATATAACTTCTATGCAGGGCCATCATCAGAGGCGTGGTTCCCATGTGATTGCACACATTCACGCCGGCGTTGTTTTTAAGTAGAATTGACATTAATTTAGCATTTGAGTTATTATACGCACTTGTATGTAAAGCTCTATAACCTTCGTCATTTTCTGAGCTGATATTAGCTCCGAATTCAATGAGTAGTTTGACTATGTCTTCGTGTTGGTTTTCAACTGCTTTCATCAATAGAGTTCTTGAAACAAAACCTAACAGTTCATATTTATATTTATTTTATTTTATTTAGTTTAAATTGACACCGCGTTGTAAGAGATCTTTAAGTATTTCGTAATGACCTTCTTTGACAACAGCAGAAAGTGGAGATTTAGTTAGAGAACCATCAGCCTCTTTCGGGTTGACTTCGGCTTTGTGCTCTAGTATAATATCCACGACTTCTTTGAAGCCGGCAGAACAAGCCAAAAAATAGAGCAGTTGTACCATAAACTTTAGTATATACATCAGCGCCACGATCCAACAAAATTAAAGTAAGGTTGAAAGATGGTTGCCCTCCAAAGTACTAGTATGCATTAAAGGTGTGTAACTCTCTTCATTACCATTGTTATTGATATCAATATCATGATCCAATAAAATACTCACGATATCTAAATGGCCTCTAGAACATGCCATATCTAAAGCATTTTCTTCTCCCTCGTCTTTTTCTTCGTCTTCTTCCTCGTCATCGCATATGTTTAAGTCAGCTTCATTCTTCAGCAAAATTTTGACGACATCTATCCAGCCTCTTCTGGAGGCATTCATCAAAGAAGTGTGTCCCTCGTGGTCTTTTTCGTTTATATTTGCCCCATTTGTAATAAGCAACGCAACAGTTTTATCGCATCCAGAATAAGATGGGTACAAAATGGGATTTCTCAAGCCCTTTCCGTAAACCTTAGCACCATGACTTATCAGTTCTTGAACAATTTCATGGTGACCAAATCTTGATGCAATAAACAATGGGTTTCCCCCGTGCTTTGTGCCTAAATTCACATTAGCATTATTTGCTAAAAGAGCTTTTACAGTTTTAAAATGTCCATGCTCTGAAGCAACAAAAAGAGCAAGAGCCCCCTAATCGCCAAGCATATTTACTTCAGCCCCATGATTTAGAAGTTCCTGCACAAAATTTTTATGTCCACAACAGGCTCGCATTAATTGAGTGTTTCCAGTACCTGTAGTGAAATCAGCTTCTGCTTTGTTCTTTAGCAATTACAAAACTATATCAAGATGGCCTTTCTCTGCCGCAAAATGAAGAGCGATTTTCTTAAAAATTTTTGCTTGATCTACATTTGCTTTATTCTCCAGTAGAAACTGAACGGTTGAACAGTGGCCATTTGACGAGGCAACAGTCACGGGAGTGTCATCTTGTATTGTTTTTCAGATTTATATCCAAGCCACAGTTTAATAATTCTTCTAATATTGAGACGTATCCACGGGCGGCTGCAGAATATAAGGGACTTACCATATTCTTCTTTCGAACTACATTCACGTCCGATGTTTACATTACATTCACCATTTAGAATAAGTGATAACATATCAGTGTACAGGAAGTTTGCAGCAATGTGAACTGCGTATATATTCTCCTGTTTACTCCAGCATGCATTTTTGAAGTCTGTCATTTCTGTAACTTGTGCGACGAAATCTCTTCTCCCATTGACACAAAATGCACATTTCATTGGGGAATTCTTAAAATATTCAGAAAAGGTCTTATTCTCTGTCACTAGGTCGAATATAGCTAACAATAAGTTTTCTAACTTAAAAGCAATCGCAAGGGTAATTGGTGATAACTCACGACACAGTGGAATGGGGTCAAGTCTAGAGAACCCAAATAATTTCTTTTGCAAAACTGTCCCGGGAATCTGTAATCAATTGTCTTGTTTCAGTTTGAAGTAAAATTTTTTTAAATTTATCTTTAGGCTCATTCTTCAGGCGCAATTGTACATTTGTCAGGACTCCTTCATTCTGGATCAAAGGACTAAGAAATATTATCTAAATATGTGTCATTCTTATATAATATATTCCTCGATTCTTTCAACGAAAGAATCAATAAAACGGTCTTCCAGTTGAATTCTTTGAAAGACTTCGTTTTTGTTTAATGAAGATGTGGTCAACGTGGGAAAGAAACTGCTTTTGCAATATTTTAGAAACTGTTCTGGATTGTCATTACAAAATACACTAGTCAAGGCAAGCAGAAAAGAGTCATCTGTTATTTTAAAAGTTTTGTTGACTCTTTGCACAAAATAATGACCCCGGAGAGACTTTAAACATTGAAAGAGAGCAATCTTTGAGGTGTTCCTAATAATACCAATTGCTTTCAATAGATCATTAAGCATTGTGTCGTCAATATAATCTATTTCCTTGTGAAAATGAAGGTTTTGATAATTGACATTTCTTGTCTTCGTTGCATTCTTTGTTTTCGCTATGGTCAATGTCATTCTCTCCTTTACATATATTTCTGCTTTCATTTCCCACCGCTTTGATATCAGAATATCGTCATTTTGATTTTCCAGACTTCTCATATCTTTGCTTGCATTATAAAAACTGTCCTTCGTTAATTTATTTCCGTGCAAAATCAACAAGAGTAGACACAAATATTTCTCTTTGGAATTTTCTTTCAACAATTGAATCTCTCTTTTCAATTGCTCGAAGGGTTCTTTGAAAAATGTAAGTACAGTTTCCTGAAAACCTTTGCTGGTAGAAGCTATACTTGATATTAGAGGAAATGATTTTTCCGTTTTAATAAGTTGATTGGCTTCACTATCTTTAAGTTTCAAACAATCTATAGGCTTTTGTCTTCTTTTTCCTTTTTGGTCAATTTTGCTTCACCTCCGTCTAGATTGATAATAGTGAACCCATCCATGAGGAAGTCCATTTCTTTCTTTGGAAGATTTCACCTGCAAGTCACAATTACTTTTGGACGCTTTACGTTTGCTTTTTCGTCTTTATTTCTCATAAAATACTCCTCCAATAATTGCTTCTGTAAATGCCACATTCCACAGGAATTTTATCTAAATCACTTTTCCCAATGTAATTCAAATTCATAGCAACAAAAATAAGACATAGACCATGACCTGTAAATGTATATATATCATAAAAAAGTAGAATATGGAATGTTTCCAAGAAAGATAGAACAGCTGTAGAAAACGGGCAAAAAAGTGATACTTTTTAGTATTTAGTAGACTTATGCAATACCTTATTAAATTATTGTGAGTGTGGGTAATCTGTTTAATGATCTTTAGGTAAGATATGTTCCAGAAATGGCAGCAGTTGACTCGATACCTGTCATGTTCGAATCAGGTGCATGTTCCCGGGACACATGAACAGGGCCTTTTCTCTCTTTTTTTCTTCATCAGTACATCATTTAAATTTAACGTACATAGATTTGGTAAATGTTGCTACATTATTTATTTTTAACATGAATTATAAGTAATATTTCTTATTTTAAATGAACGATGTTTGCCGTACAGTAAAAATTGCACCTCCTGAAACACCCCTACTATTGTTATTGTGATTTAAATTCAAGACACGTGATTCATTTTGACCTATTCAAAGATTATAGGGTAAAACCGGTTTTATAAATAAAATTGGCAGTAAACAGGAAATTACTTTTGTCCGTTTCTTTCGAAAACATGTCCTGTGAAAAATGTTTCCAGACCTTTCTGAAAGACTTTTATGATTTTCAACAGAAAAGGGTGGCTAAAGGGGTCTTGGTGTAATAACAATATATCTTATCATAGTTTACGGCAAAAATTAGAGCTCACTAGCGACCGATACGATGGTAAAAATGTGTAATATCATCTACACTAACAAACTTTGTTTGCCTTATATGGCTATTGTAATTAATGCGCACAGAGGATCTTACCACGAGCAACTGACCAATTGTTGATTGAATACGTTTACGCCAAATACATGTTCACATTTTACTTCGAACACGTGGTCTATGATCATGAAAATGGAGTGCAAATTTAAAAAAAATGTTCTTAATAACAAATTACAAAGTTTAGAATCAATGAAAGATGTCACTTGTTAACTATAAAAAAATAATTATATTCAATAAAATGTATACGTAGTTAGTGTCAAGTTCAGAACACCAGCTTTTCAAGGGTAAGGAAATTCCCAGTCAGCATCAATATGTTGGCCCAATGTAATGCCAACAATATTCATTTTGTTGGCCCAGCATTGCATACCAATGTTGGTTCAATGTTTAAGTGCAAAGTGGGCTCATGTTGGGCCAACGTATTGGCTTTACATTGGCCCTACATTAGACGCCGATTGCATGGATGTTGGCCCAACCTTGGATATATGTTGGGCCTACGTACTAGACTACAAATATTGGTCTTATGTTGGCCCAGTATGTCTTTTACATTGGCCCAATGTGTCTTTTACGTTGGCTTAGAGTTTCTTTTACATTGCCCCAGCATTCCTCTAGCTTACATCAGCCCATTGTTTCTCTGATGTTGGCCCGATGTTATTTTTACATTTGCTCAACGTCTTTTTACATTGGCCCAGAGTTTGTTTTACGTTGACTTAGTGTTCTCAACCAATGACTCATATTTATAATTTCCAATAAGTGGGAGAAATAACAAGAATAAGATAATTTGATACGGTTTACTAATTAAATCATTCAAATGAATTAAAAACACTAAATCAAAAATTAAAATTAAAAACTAAATTAAAGTCAAAGGGTAATAATGATAATTCACCAGATACCAAAAAATTCAAAGTCATTTCAAGGCCATTCATCGGTTGGTCTCCTATTCTGCTGCCTTTTTTTGTTTCCTTTCCTTCCTACCCCCATCTAGGGCATCCCTATCGCAAGAGTATCGTAACTAGTCCTTTTCAGCATCTTCGATATCTTTGTCTTTTGCATCTTTCAAAATCCATTCTTTCTCACAGTTACTGTCAAAATAAGATACTGTGATTTTATTTGTTATGTGAAAAAAAAATGTTTTTAATTACTTAAAACTGCACACTACAGAGATCTACTTTGTAGGGTAATTTTATGTCACTAGAATGATCTGCCCTTAGAAGTAAGATAGAAAAATATTGTTTCGGTATTTACACAATTTATGTTGGATTAAAATATTCTAAACATTATATTACACAAACTTAGATAAACTAATGTACAAATTAAAATACAAATGTGTTTTTGGTTTACTTTACTTGCAATCATTTTGATGACAAGATATTTGTGCAACATTATGTCAAAAGTATGAAAAAATTGTAATCTTAGCTCAATAAATTAATGTGACTTTGATGCATTACCCTCGACACATGTCTGATCTTTGACAATTAGACATATTTTTCATGTTTAACTAAATTTGTAAGTTGTCAATCCACACACATACAAACAAACAAACCAAGATCAGTATACATGTATCTTGGGAGTATAAAATAATATTTTAAAGATATGTAAAAAAAAATACTCACAGCTACACATCTTTCAATGAGAAAAAGGAAAATGCTCTCTTAATTATCATCCCTCCCTAGCCAGTTCATTTTCTTTGCAACACCAATGTCTATCATTGAAGTTGAACTCATAATTCTCCGTACACTTTGTTTCGTATTGTCACCTCTAATAGTTCTCCGTTTTCTTACCTAAAAAGTACCATGTGATTTTTTAAATGCCTAATGATATTATCATAGCTCTTCAATAAATATTTCAGCTATTTTTATTCGTACTGTTTATAATGGGTCGGTTTAATGTCATATGATTATTTACAAAATTAAAAATATATCAGACACAGAAATAAGAAATTATAAATGTATTTGGGAATCACACATACTTGGACTTTTCCGGTTAGTATCGGAAAGACCCGAGATCGCTGCACAATTTTTTAGGACTTTTTTTGTCTGAGACCTAATTGAAAGTACAGAATACTGGTCTAAGGGAACTAATATTATACAACTTTAGTATTTATAGCACCATAATTCAAAGTGTGTAGACAAGGAAATAGATTTACATGATAATGATATCACTTATAAAGATTATACATACATGCATGCACGTGTCTCTATCAACAATGATCGCCCCCTCCCCTCGCTCCACCATGCATGTGCGAAAATGGAGCGTTGCGCGTTTTAATGAGTTAATTATTATATATACAGTGTATATATTTTACTTTAAAGGACAAGAGTTAAGATTTATCCCACATACAAAAATTTAAACTAAAAATCACATATAATGAGAAAAGAATATACATACATGTACAGATCGAATTTGCTACTTGTAGATCAAAATCTGTTCCACTATGTTACGATCATTGATAGAAAATTTCCTTTCAAAATACTCATGCACAAAAAGAAAATCAGAAATACTCACATTTTGCTTTAACTGCGTCTATCCTCAAACAAAATTCAGTCTTTGTCTTTGTTTCTACATCTTGCGCGCGAGGAAGGCTGACCTCTATTTAACTCAAAAACTTAATTTATTGCCCTCCTGGGAGTGACATCTTTAATTCAAAGAGTGGAATAGCACGTACAGCTGCAATGCTACATTTGCTTTACACTTAATGTGTCTCATTGTTCTGGACCCACATCCAAGAATTTCTTTTAAAATTCTTAAATTGATACGTTTGTATGCAGTATTACTTTTTGACTTTAACAGGGGGAAACCGTATTTTTTTAATTTGCAACAATATAAATTCGTTCATATAGCCAAAATATGCATGCATATGTATTTTCCCCCCAATATGATATATAATACGTTAATGATATCCAATAAAACCCATGAAGATTTATTTAATATAAAAATTGCACAACATTATGATATATGTGTGTGCATGATACAGGGAGAGAAAGAGAAAATCGTTGGGTATAGTACTTAACACTAGCTTGATATAAACGTTGGGCCAACGTTGGACCAGCTGTGTTAGCCTTATACCTTGGCATAAAAATATAGAGATATGTACCTGATTAACTAGTATCTGTTAAGGAAATGTAATTTTTTACCATTAGTACAACAACATTTAATCAATAAATTAATAAACACATATTTACAGGATTTATGCAGTACACATTTGACACAGTGGGCCAAAGTTGGTCAAACTAAAAATGTATAGGTAAGGCACTGAAAAGATAAAGCCAGATAACAAAATTAATGTTATTAACTTATTATAGAATACATTTAATGTATACTGATCCAATCACACGTGTAAAGTGTTACATAATCATAAATGATCAACCTTTTAGTAAAATTATCCTCTCAGCTGTTGCAGTATATCTTTGACAAAGATTTGCATTGGGCCAATAATGGTCCAACTACACGAGACCAACCATTTTATGCTAAGTTTGAAACATTGTGCCAACGCTGTCTTGCCAACGCTGGTCCAATCGTTGTACACCTGCATATGTTCATTATGTTCAGTATTCAATATTGGGCCAACGTAAGTTCATCGATGCAAAACCACTGTTTAAGATAGTAATTTCTGTGAAAATTACATACATTGGGCCAATGTTGGCCCAACAATGTAAAACCAATGTATGTTATCACGACAACTTATGTGAGATTAAGATACATTGGGCCAACATTAGCCCAACAACGAATAACTGACATATACTGATATTGCCACTAAGAGCATAATGTCTAACATTGGCCCAATGTTGGCCCAATCATGTTATACCAACACCAACCTTGACCCAACAGACCGTTGCTCTACCAACGTTGGGCCAATATATGAATGCTGACTGGGAAACGAGCAACTTCTAGTTTGCATTTAAATGGACAAAACATTTTTTACATAACTATACACGTAATCACGTGTTTTGGCCACCTGACAATCGTATTCACCGATAGTACAATAAAGGAATTTATCAAGCGTAAAATTCCTGTAATATTTCCTAGTAACCCATAATGCAACAATCATTCAGCTGATTTGTCAGTTAAAGTGACATTGCTGCCTCATTTGCTAATCTGACACCAAAAAATATAGTCCCGGTTTGCAAAAATATTTGTCCAAAAAGAAATTTTGATTCATGACAGCAGAAAATTGTATCATAGGGAATACTATTACTTTAAATTCGAATGAATTCAAGAGAGATCGATTGAAGTACATGCACATGTCTACAGAATGATATTATAAGGCGGTGAAAACTAAAACGCAACATAACTTTTCTGTTTACCATGTCTCCACGTGCTAGTCACTTCCTAGCCACATTTCCGTGAATAATTTACCCTATCTCGCTGTAGTCTCGCTAACTCTCGCCAGAGCCACTGCCAGAGCTACTCTGATAATGATGGGTTTTATCCGGTCAATACTGATGATTTTTCCACCTTTGAATTATAATGATGACATCAGGCGCAGACTCCTCGGATATCTAACTAAAAACCACAGTGTTTGTATGAGGAAATGTCGGTACAGTAAGATTACAATCTCAAATAGAAGATCGCTCTATTATCTTTAAGAAAATGTAATAGATAGGATCTTGAAAATATTAATTATTAAAAATGAGATAAGAAAAATATTAATTATTAAAAATGAGATAAGAAATTCATGTAGAAACGACGATAAAAATGAACATATGCAACAATTTCAAACTACTGAACAATTCAATCAATAACACAAATGATACTATCATGTGACGCCACATCAATAAAAAATAAAGATATCTTTATATAGCAGTGTAGAAATATCAAACAGATGATTATCCTGGTGGAGCTCGCCATCTGATCGGTAAAGCGAAAACAGTTTAAATGGAACTAGCTGGAAGTCCTAAGGTGATCACTGTGTACCTTGTTGTACAAACCTTAACTCTATTACAGACATGCTACTCTCAGTGCTTCGACCCAACATCTTTGATCATTTACAATTATGAAAATTCTGTACCCGATTTCAACCTTTTGACAAATGCTGAAATGGGAATGTGTAAGATGGTCTGTAACAAATTTGAGCTGTGTCTCTCTGTGGATTGGATACGTGAAAAAAAGACTTGCCGGCTAAACACAAGATTTGCCATCAAAAATGGCACTAGCCTAATGACCGAGGGCCGCATCATTCATGTTGACCGTGAAAATTTTCCAAAGGTAAGCACTGTATCAGACGCTAAGTAGCGAACATTGAAGCATTTGTATAAAGAAGATGGGGGGATAAGGCGGGCGAAGTGCCTATAGTGCGACAGATAAGAAGTGAAAATTTTAATCTCAATTAAATCCAAATTTAAATTGATATTTCATCTAGCATTGAAGTATTCTTAATGTAAAATCTCTACAATTTACAAAAATCTCACCAAATCAGACAATATTTGCCTATGAAAAAGCCTTAAGCTTACATACACTAAAAAGAACAAAAACGATCATTTTCTCATACTTTTAAAAAAAATTCAATATTGGTGGCTCTTCGCTCCATTTTTTTGAAAGATGATCCTAAAAGTTTGCAATGAAATACACATTTTTTGGTTTACAAAAACATGGAGCGAAGACCCACTATACCTTAAAAGTACACTTTTATGACACAACATTCGTATCTTTCCGAGAAATACCTCAAGTTCATTAAGTTGCTTGTCATATCACAAACAAGATTTAAATGCCAAAAATCATTATGAGTGATGTAGCATAGTGGTTAACGCGTAAGTCTCAAATCACTATGCTATTGATACATCGGATTTTTATTGCGAGGGTTCGAATCCCACGAATGCCATTTGTTTATTTTAGGACAGATTTGTTTTCTTAAGAGATTGTTTTTCTCACGGAAAAGTTTTTTTTCTCATAATTTCAAAAATTTCAACAATTAGAAGTTAATTGAAATGCTCAGTTCATATAATGAATATATTTCTTAATATCGAAGGCGATAGGCATTCTGCCCGCCTTGTTCTCCCATCTTCTTTATATTTAGTAATGCGATCTAAAATGAAACAAGTTATCACTCTAAGACGAATTATTTTCAGCACCTGGCGGCCGATTGTCCCATGCATATCTGCACCGAGGATGCAATCTGCCTTCGGGGTAACTGTGTGCCTGTTTTAAAAGGTAATATATAAGATGTTTTACTATATTTTTCAGGTGATGAATACAACATTCAAATCAAAGTTTTTTTGGAGTTCGATTTGCTTTAACGCACTGCTTCAGACCTAAGATTTTAAAAAAATAGCCAGGGCTATTAATACCCTAAGTACCTGAGACTTGGGACGAATGCCCGAGGTCCTTGAATTAGGTCTTCAAATCTAAGGTTCTATTTTACGGAAGGCGTTGATGAGAAGCAACTCTTTCCCTGTTATAGCCGAAAAAAACATCAATAGGTCAAAATTTGTGGTTTGTCATCTAAAGCAGGTGCCGTCTGTAAATGAGTGAAAAGTTTTCTATGAGACAATAAACATCATTCAATCAACCAAACAATCAATTTTACGATGTTCTGTTAAATAAAAATCTGTCTGAGTGTGTTTATAATAATTAATGCACATTTTCTTCCATAACATAATTTGTTAGCCTCTAAGCAGAAAGGGGATGTTGTCAAACATATTAACAAAGAACATTTTGATTGGAGAGTACTGAAATTGTCCACGAATCATATTCATCTTTGTAAGGATTGTTAATATTAAGGCATAAATATTCATTATTGATTTTTTTCCCCTAACTTTACAGAAAAGGTATATAAAGACTGTTCAGATATTGTGAAAAGAGACCCAAGCAAGAAAGGACAAAATGGGGTATATGTTATTTATCCAGACACCGGCCGGAGAGAGGTTTTCTGTGACATGACGACAGATGGAGGCGGGTGGACGGTGAGTAGTTTTCATTTTTGAATATTAACAGATTGTGAATTATTTCTATTCTTAGCCACTTGAACTTCAAATGTAGAAAATATAAGAGTTTCCGATGTTAAAGCTTATCATGAAAACGATTTAAACAAATTAATATCATGATGCCATCATGTCGACAGATGCAGGAGAAGTTCTGAACTAATAGCGCTTACTCGATAACATTTCCTTTTATAAGCTATTTCAACGTCAAATGTAGAAAATATGAGACAGTTACAGATGTAAGAGTTTATCATGAAAACAATTTTTACACAACTTGATCTTGATGTCATTACATCTCTTCCTAAGAGTGACGAATGAAAAATGTCTTAAAACATTAGCAACTAAATAAAAAATTTCAGTCGAAAGATCACCACTTTTCTTCCTAATAACATTTTCTAAACACGATGTTATGTTAGGGGTGATTTCACCCTAACATAACATGAATAAAGTTAAATTTTAATCTGCAATTTAGAAGTGTTACTGTACTCGCGTGCAGATCTAGAGAAAAAGCAAAAGAACAACACAAGTTTTAAATTCGGAATTGGTTTTTGAAGCCTTTTACATAATGATAATGATAATTGCTTAAACAATTTTATATTACTCAAGTTTTTGTACACACTGCCATATGTAAAAAATTCTACCTTTACAGAAAAGGTATATAATCCCCCTGGGATTTTTTAATCTTAAAACAATAAATATAACAGTAAAATTTATTTAACGAAAAATTATCAAAATCCATAGAGTAGAAATGATTAAAGGCCGTCTGTTCAAATTATCAAAGACAAATTTATAATGGGTAGTGGCAGTTAGGTAAGATGTATTTATTTTCACGCAAATTGTAATTATTAAGGTCTTCCGTTTCCAACGGAAGACCTTCTACTGATTCTGTTGGTAAAGATTATTAAGGTCTTCCGTCTTCACGGAAGACCTTATAGTGATTCTACTGTTTCTTATTAAGGTCTTCCGTTTCCAACGGAAGACCTTATTGTTTTCGTTCGGTTTCTTTTTCCCTATTATTATTATTTTTTTTCTTACCGATTTTTGTGCACGCCAGTTCTCGTAAACGGCTCGGTCGATTTTCACGAAACTTTCAGATCTGATAGATATTGGTCTGAACCTTATTGGAAATTTTTTATAAGTACGTCGTCACTTCCGGTCGTGAGATATGGACGATTTGCTTATTTTAAGAGGGTCAGCTTCTCCGGGCAATCACTAAAAAACGAATGAAGATATTGACTTGAGATTTTCAGTGAAGGTAGAGGAAGGATTCCTAAATTGCTTTTTTGAGTTTATATCTTTCCAGCGCAAAAGGTGTTGAAGCTTGCCTGAGCTCATTATAATTATTATTTTTCTGACCATCAAATTTTGTGCACGTGATTTCTCGAAGACAACTGGATGGATTTTTATGAAATTTGCAGGAACAATGTGTTCCTATCTGCATTTATTATATCCTGGAGATTTTTTGGAAATTCCCTTCTGGTGCCAAGTTACAGACAATTTTCTGATTTTAAATTGACATTTTGTTCGCGGATAATCTAAAGAACGGTAAAAGATATCACTGTGAAACTTTCAGGAATTATAGATCGTGATAAGTACTATCCAAGACGCGATCTTTTGTACATCGTCTCTACTTCCTGTCGTAACGGCATGCAAAGAAAAAAAGTCAAATTTTTGAACTTTTTTGTTTTTCAATGTTTTCAAATCATATTTGTATGGTTGATAGATACATTTCTCATTAGGCTGAATATATAATTTGTTTGTAAATTGATGAATTCGAACTCGAGATATTAACATTCAAAAGTCTGAAGCGTGATCTTAATGGCGGCGGTCTCTGTCAATTCAGACATTTCGCAATAGGGGTTTACAGAGGCAGCCGAGCGTTTGCTTGAACGAAAGTAACATAAGGAGCAATGAAATGTGTAGGAATACTTGGATTGTCACGTCGTAGGTTCGTTGCAATTCGGTGTCAAACTACATTTATTATCCAAGGTCTACTTACCAGTCTTCTTTAATTGGTTTTGGTTGTTTCTCAAAGTAGAAATAGAAAAGAATTAATGTGCAAATGAAGTACAATATCTATATCTTTTGTTTTGCATCACGGTAACACATAGCTCAAATCATAGTTATAATTAATAGTTTTTCAAGAATGTAGTGAAAGAAAAAAACGTGACCACTGTTTTCTAATGGACACTTGTGTCATATTAAATCAATAGAAAGGACAACTGTTACAATAATAAAATATTTTATTTTTAAAGATAACAATTTTTCAAAGACCGTTTAATTGACCTATATAAACATTTTATTTTCTCAATGCAAGTTATTGAACATAATGGAATCTTATTTCTTGACCTTCGTAGGGCGATCGAGGCATTTTTTTTCGGTGAAACATACCACCTTTTTCATGAAAGTGTAAGTAATCGGAATAGTCAACTTTCGTGATTGAAAATTGAAAAATTAACCATTCATAGCTGTTTCAGTGCTTTAGTGTTATTTGCGTATATACGATTGATTGTATACAGTTTAACGTCCCTCTCCAGAATATTTCACTGATATGGAGACGGCACCATTGCCGGTGAAGGGCTGCAAATTTGGGCCTATGCTAGGCACTTAGGGCCATTGAGCAGGGAGGGATCTTTATCCTGCCACACCTGCTGTGACACGGGGTGTCGGTCTATACCGTCTCATCCGAAGGACCATGAACATTCCAAGAGAAATTCGCTAAGATTTACTCGTTGCGTTTGGCGCGAAATTATAATAGAATAGTGACCCTTCTTTCATAATTCCAAGACAGATTAACTGTTGCAGAATTATATGTACATACAAGTGAAGTAAGAGTAGTTGTTCAAATAGCGTAATTGATAAGCGTATTGGATTTTTACGCTAGTGACCCGTTTCAATTACCAGTGTGTCCAAGATATGTTTAATCCATTTTCGGCTCGATTTTATGGGTTATTTTTCGGAATCGGACGGAAGACCTACTCGTTGCTCGCAACGAGATCGTTTCTAGTTATTATTATTATTATTTTCCTGACCATCTAATTTTGTGCACGCGATTTCTCGAAGACTACTGGATGGATTTTCATGAAATTTGCAGGAACAATGTGTTGGTATCTGAAGTTATTTTATCCGAGAGATTTTTTGGAAATTCCTTTCTGGTGCCAAGTTACAGACAATTTTCTGATTTTAAAATGACATTTTGTCCGTGGTTAATCTCAAGAACGGTAAAAGATATCACTGTGAAACTTTCAGGGATTTTAGATCGTGATAAGTACTTTCCAGGACGCGATCATTTGTACGTCGTCTCTACTTCCTGTCGTTACGGCAGGCGAATTTAAAAAGTCGAAGTTTCTAACTTTTTTGTTTTTCAATATTTTCAAATTATATTGGTATGGCTAATAGAAACATTTTAGATTAGGCTGAATATATAATTTGTTTTTAAATTGATAAATCCAAACTCGAGATATTAATAATCAAAAATTTGAAGCGGGACCAAAATGGCGGCGGTCTCTGTAAATTCCGACATTTTGCAATAGGGGTTTACAAAGGCAGCCGAGCGTTTGCTTGAACGAAAGTAACATAAGGAGCAATGAAATGTGAAGGAATACTTGGATTGTCACGACGTAGGTACGTTGCAATTCTGTGTCAAACTGCATTTATAATCTAAATCCTCATTACACGTCTTCTTTAACTGGTTTTAGTTGTTTCTCAAATTAGAAATGGAAAAGAATGAATGTGCAAATGAAGTACAATACCTACTATCTTTTATTTTGCATCACGGAAACACATAGCTTAAATCGTAGTTAGAAGTAATAGTTTTTCAAGAAACAATATATATAGTAAGTATGAAACGTGACCATTGTTTTCCCTGGTGCAAACTTGTGTCATATTAAATTAATAGAAAAGACAACTGTTATAATAAGAAATTTTTTTATAAGACAACTATTTTTAAGACTGTTTAATTGACTTTTTATATAAACCATTTTTTTTTCAATGCAAGTTATTGAACATAATGGAATCTTATTCCTTGACCCTCGTAGGACGATCGAGGCATTTTTTCGGTGAAACACACAACCTTTATCGTGAAAGTGTAGGTAATCGGAATAGTCAACTTTCGTGATTAACAGGAATTTTTTAAAAAAAAATGAACCATTCATAGCTGTTTCACTGCTTTAGTGTTATCTGCCTATATACGATATATTACATGTATGTGTTAAATATACTTTCCACTCCACGAAATTTATAAGAACGCTCTTTTGTTATTTGGTTTGGTTGAAGCTATCTCACCTATTTAATATAACATTCCAACTTGGGCAAGGGAAAGGCGCTAAGATTTACTCGTGGCGTTTGGCGCGAAATTATGAATAGTGACCCTCCTTTCATAATTACAAGACAGATTAACTGTTGCAGAATTACATGTACATACAAGTGAATTTAGACAAGTTGTTTAATTAAAGTAATCGATAAGCGTATTGGATTTTCACGCTAGTGACCAGTTTCAACTACCAATGTGTCCAACAAAATGTTTAATAGATTTTCAGCTCGATTTTAGGGTTATTTTTTGGATCGGACGGAAGACCTCTCGTTGCTCGCAACGAGATCGTTTCTAGTTATTCTTTTTTTTTCTTCTGCTTCCTAGACCGCAACTTTGAGGCCTCATATCTCACTCAATTCTCAACGGATTTCGCTCAAATTTTCAGAGGTTATAGACGTTTATAAATTCTATCAGAATGCTGACTAAAATTTCAAAAAGTCACTTCCGGTTTTGAGTTATTGCCCTTTAAACGAAAATTTATAGGCTTTCGTTTCCAGACAAAGGCTAAGAGACGGCTAAATCTGGAGCAGAAATTCTACTGATTTTGGATAATAGTAGGATTGAAGTTGTGCACATCGGTTTTTGTTTTTCGATTTCTCTATTCAAAATGGCGCCATATTGGGGTCAAAAATTAGAACGCTTAAAAGAACCAAAATTTACTCATATTTTG